TCAACTCTCAACTTATATTCACAACAATAATTATGTTCAACTCTCAACTTATATTCAACAACAATAATTCTATTCAACTCTCAACTTATATTCAACTACAATAATTCCAATCAACTCTCAACTTATATTCGTATATATTCTTTCTTGCCGTGCTTATCTTTACAAGCCTAGCGTTACTCTTTTTTCCGGCTCACGGTGTTGCCACCATTTACATTGGCGCCCAAACAATTCTATTGAAAAAACTTTGATATTTCAATTGAAACGAATTATAAATGAAACGGACCAAGTACAGTTACTTGTGGTACCGAAACTAATGAAACAGTTATTCAATTGTTTTTACTGTTAATTTCATTGTTTTTGTTGTTTTAGTTCGTTCTTCTAACGTTTGATGATGCTGTGACCAAGGCCATCTACGATGAGTATTACGAGAAGTTGCTTCTGGATCGCAGGAACCCTGATAACAGGACGATCGGTGCGACGTTCTACGTGCCGCACGAGTATACAGACTACACGTGCGTCAATAAGCTGTACAACGCCGGATTCGAGATTGCCAGCCACTCAATATCGTAAGCATCATTCATACAATCAGGCCGCAATTCACACAACAAAAGGGATGAATTGCGGCGCTTGTTCGCATTAAAACAATTTGCTTTCGATTCGCAGCAAAAACATATCGATCTACTGGAAAACCGCATCCAAAGAGCAACTCGTCGACGAGTTCAAGGGTCAAAGGGAGATCATCTCGACGAACGCGAACATTCCCTTAGAATCCATCCGCGGCGTGAGAACACCTCACCTTCAATTGGCAGGGAACAGGAGTTTCGAAGCGTACGACGAATCCGGATACCTTTACGACAGCAGTTGGCCTACCTTATCCATCGACAAGTTGTACCCTTACAACCTTAAATACCTGTCGACGCAGCAGTGCGTGATCGGGGAATGCCCGACGAATTCGTTGCCGAATTTCTGGGTCATCCCGATCAATAATTTGGTCGGCAATCAAGGCATCGATTGCAACTCCTTGTACGCCTGCAATGTCGAGTAATTAATACGGAATTATACAGAAATGCGGATAATTAATGATATATTTCCAGGGGAAACAGCACAGTGGTCCTCGACTGGTTGCAGAGCGAATTCCAGAAGAACTTCGGCAGCAGTCGCGCCCCTCTCAAGCTGCTGATCAATTCGGTTTGGATGAGCCAGCAGGAGAACTTCGAGGCGTTGCAGATGTTCCTGGACTTCTTGCAGGAGCAGCAGGACGTGTTTTTGGTCAACGAAAACGATTTGGTGGAATGGATGAAGGATCCGGTTGAGGTTCAAGATTACGTTAGATTGTCGGAGAACGAAGAGCGCGAATGCGTTGAGAAGATCTGCGTGTTGAAGCACGGAATTGAAGATAGGTACATGGGATCATGCGTCACCTGTCCATCAGTTTACCCATGGTTGCAAAACCCCATGGGTAAAGTTTATTAAATTTATTAATAGTTAGAGCGAAATGTGTACATTTAATTTCATTTATATTTATTTATTATCTGTAGGTTCAATTGAAATTGTAAACTAATTGAAATAAATGTATTTATGTTGATTTGATTCTGGGCGAAAGATTGCTTCTTCCACCCTTTTCATCGCTATTTGTCCTGTGTTTTGTGGTTGTCTGCTTAACATCGTTTTGTTGTTCTTGCAGTTGCTGTTTATTTTGGCTCTGCTGGTGGACTGCAGTTTGTCGGTCTGGGTTGAAATGGGGTTGAAATGGGGGAGTTTTGGACGTTGGAGGAGGATTGTGTGGGGTGCTTGCAAGTCACGTCGTTGGTAATGCGATAAAGCCCGAAGCCCGTACATTGACTGACAATGAAGACACAATCATTAGTTTCAATCAACATGCATTAATCGAATTCGACAGACGACTGTGTTCCGACTTTTACGTTCTAAAAACATCCACCACCACCACTACCACCCTTCAATTATTTCGTTTTATTCCTACTCGTCTTTAGAGACGCTGCGGGAAAGTGCGAAATGTAATTAGAATAAATACATTTTCTGTAGGAAGAAACACAATAATAATAGTGGTAGAAATAATGGGTAGAAAAAAGGGAAGTAAAAGTAAGGAAGGAATTGAGAGAAGGGTGAGATGTGTTTGTGCCGGGCTTCGACGTTTCCCGTAAAAATAAATAAAGAGGCGTTCTTTTGAAGTGAAATCCCCGAAGACCGGGTATTAAGGTGTACGTATGTTACGTAATAAATAACTCATGTTGGTTTATGGCCGGCAGAGAGCTTAGACGTAGCGAGACCCCAACGAAAGAAAAAAAATAAAATAAAAATAATGCAATAGCCTTGTCAGACGTTAAACTTACTAGCAACAGCAACAGCAGCGTCCAACCTATTACCTCTACCTCTACCGTTGCTGTTGCTGTTGCTGTTACCGTTACCAACACGCCTTCTTTCGACGCCCCAGTCCTGCGGAAGTGAAACGTGCCGCAAACCTCCTTTCATCTTTTGACACTCTGGAACAAAAGCGAAATTTCATTAGGGGGGCTTCAACAACAGCAGCAGCAGCGCCATCTACACACACGTACATGCACACAGGAGCTGAGAAACAAAATAATGAACAAAAAGAAAAAAGAAAGAAATAAAATCGGGTAAGGTTTCTTCCTTTTTTTTTGTCGCATTTCCCCAAAGGGGAGAGCGAAAATTGGGATAAAATCAACAACGAAATTAGCCAAAAAAAAAATAACTTTCACCCTAAAACCTTTTGCAATGTTCGTTTCATGTTTTTTCTTACTTTTTCACTCTGAAATATTCTTCAACTTATAGAATATTGTAGTTTTTATTGAAATAAATATTAAAATTACCTGAAAAGTAGTGTGTTTTATGCAAAATTGACATGTTTTATAGAATTATAAATAAAATAAGTCAAAATCTAGCAATATGACAAATATTTCTATCTTTTTGACCTCAATTGTTTTATTTTTGTTTTTTTCGAAAAAATGCTTTCTACTATAGGCGCAAACATTTGCACAGCCAACTTTGGTCACTATGAAAACTCTCCCATTTTTCAACTTCAAGATTATTATAGTTTTTATTGAAATAAAAATTAAAAATTCCTGAAAAGTAGTGTGTTTTATATAAAATTGTCATGTTTTATTGAATTATATAAAATAAAATAAGTCAAAATTTGTCAAAGAAAAAGTTCTATTTCCAAATTAAAGTCAATTGGAATTCTAGCAATCTTTTTGCTCTCAAATTTTTTTTTTTTGTTTTTTTTTTCGAAAAAAAAATGCTTTCTATTATTGGCGCAAACATTTGCACAGCCAACTTTGGTCACTATGAAAACTCTCCCATTTTTCAATTTCAAGATTATTATAGTTTTTATTGAAATAAAAATTAAAAATTCCTGAAAAGTAGTGTGTTTTATGCAAAATTGACATGTTTTATAGAATTATAAATAAAATAAGTCAAAATCTAGCAATATGACAA